GTGAGTCTGATTCAAGGTATGTCTGTGAACTGATGCTGTGAGTCTGATTCAAGGTATGTCTGTGAACTGATGCTGTGAGTCTGATTCAAGGTATGTCTGTGAACTGATGCTGTGAGTCTGATTCAAGGTACGTCTTTGAACTGATGCTGTGAGTCTGACTCAAGGTATGTCTGTGAACTGATGCTGTGAGTCTGACTCAAGGTATGTCTGTGAACTGATGCTGTGAATCTGACTCAGACTCTGACTTGTACTGCAAGGCAATACTTCTGTGTAGAATAAGAATACTTTTGGTCATAGTACAGTTTGTGTTTGGTATTTGCAAACCCTCAAAAAACCCCAAAATGCATATTTACAGTTTTGTAGTATCCCTGTGTATTATGTCTGTTATTTACTCTCCTCTACTACAAACCATTTCTAAATCAGCAGTGTACCATAAAATGAAGAGTTCATAACCCGACGTCAAATACGAATACCATATTTAATGACACTCTGGAAAAGGTCATGGGCATTTACAGTTTGACTCCTTCACCGGTGCACGTAGTGTTAATAAAACTTTGGCTATGGCTAAGTTGTTTGTTTCAACTTCAGAGATTATTGGGAAAAAAAGAATTTGATCAACAGCTGTTTAAATTTTCTTAAGTTTTTTTTTAAATATTCCTGATCTGTGAAGTATTGAAGATTTGGTACACTAGAATTATTGTAAAATTTCTCTAAAACTTGAAGAATGTCACCTTAGTTGTGTGGAAACTTTAGGTACTTATATCTAGTAATGTTGATTTTTATTGTTATATGCTTTATTTATTTACATGATCAACTGTTATATAATTTTTGTTTAGAATATTATGAAAGATAAGTGGATGAACATAGGTTATGAAGATGATGAACTTAAACCTTATTTGGAACCAGAATTTGATATGCAAGATGCCAGAAGAATAGGTAATATTTATTCTTTTTTAAAAAGAAACCAGTAAGTAGGGGGAAATGGAGGCTAATAACTCAAGCAAAAAAATGAAATAATATATATTAAAATAAAGACAAAAGGACTATAAAGTGAGCACCCAGTGAAGGTGCCAGTAGAAACCTTGTGCTTAACTGTTTGTCAGTCTTGTACAATACTGATTAGGCTTATAGTATTTACACTTTTGTTTCAGTAAAAGTATAGTACAGTAGGTTTCCACAAATACTGATTAGGCTTATAATATTTACACTTATTTTTCATAAAAGTATAGTACAGTAGGTTTCCACAAATACTGATTAGGCTTATAATATTTACACTTATTTTTCGTAAAAGTATAGTACAGTAGGTTTCCACAAATACTGATTAGGCTTATAATATTTACACTTATTTTCAGTAAGAGTTTAGTACAGTTGGTTTCTAGAAATAGGGATTATATTATAAAATGTAGTTTCAACCTTTTAACAACCTTCAGTCTTGAGGTAAGTGTATGAATACATGTGAATAATTAAGTGAATAAATGGAAAGTTGGCACCTTATTCCCATAATATCCACAGGTGTGGAGAGCTTGTGTCCTAGTTAGAAGTAGGGATTATATTATAAAATGTAGTTTCAACCTTTTAACAACCTTCAGTCTTGAGGTAAGTGTATGAATACATGTGAATAATTAAGTGAATAAATAGAAAATTGGTACCTTATTCCCATAATATCCACAGATGTGTAGAGCTTGTGTCCTAGTTAGAAATAGGGATTATATTATAAAATGTAGTTTCAACCTTTTTACAACCTTCAGTCTTGAGGTAAGTGTATGAATACATGTGAATAATTAAGTGAATAAATGGAAAGTTGGTACCTTGTGTCCTAGTTAGAAATAGGGATTATATTATAAAATGTAGTTTCAAACTTTTTACAACCTTCAGTATGGAGGTAAGTGTATGTATAAAGTACTATTTTTGTTCAACCATTGTAACTATGTATCAATATAAAACAAGAAAGATTTATATATATTTTTTATAAATTTGAGTAAAAACTGTCACTTGTTGTATTCAAATCTAAGAAAGTTTGTGTTTTTAAAGAAAAATTGATTGAGGGAAGAAACCACTGTTCTCACTGAGAACTTGTTTTTTTCCAGAAATTCTGCATAACCTAGGTTTTTCTAAAGATGACATAGACGATTCACTTCGAAACAGGAAATATGATGACATAATGGCTAATTATTTATTGTTAGGGAAGAAAACAACTGAGGTGAGTTCTACTTTATTTTGAAGTGTGGTAGAAGATAGAAATGGTGCTGGTAAGATTTGTCGAGTTCAGAATAATTCTGTAGAGCCCATTGATACTTGTAAATTGAAATGTTTTAACCCTTTCGCAATGGGCTTGGTATAATATACAGGAGATTGTATACACGTTAAGGTTTTATACTATAACCTTTAATTCGGTATGTGCATCTTCACAAAATTTGGTATACCTTTAGTAAACATTAGAAGTCTTGTATACAAAAAAAATCTAATTTTTTACTAAAGATTTGTTTGCGAATATATCGAGTCTGTTTCGTTACCAGTCGAGGTGGAAGTGATTTTCTTGTTATGATTAAAAATACTATTGTTCATCCTAAAAATCTCGTATTTCTTTTGCATAATCTTTAAAACTTCCTAAATAAATTTCAAACATTTGGTTTCGGTAAAACTTTATATCTTATCAGTTATTTAATGATATACTTGAGTCTGTAGATAAATCCCGGAAGTATAAAGAAAAGACAAGTTGTAAAATTATAGATAAAAGGAGCAGCTGTGTCCTTTTTTTTTTTGTTATTATTGGTCACGAAGTTTCAAAGTACTTCTCTTACGAGTTTGAAATGCTAAACATTTCATATTTATTTTCTGTGTTTATTTTACTTTCAAGGACTAAAGTAGAACCCTGCTGAAAATAAATCAATAAATTGTTGTTTGTGTCAGTAGACTGTTTATGTGACACCACCGTAATACGACACTCCTGAAAGCAACCCCTGCTCAGAGAACAGGAGGTCTAATGTTTCGGGTTATATATTGTAAAATGTTTTCTTGGAGTAATCACACTACACTTAGAATCAGTGAAAACGTTTATGCCGACAACAGGATATGTAATTTATCGGCTTATGTATGTATCCTATAGTGTTCACAACAAGACTTTTCGATAATAACAACAATGCACTATGAACCTGTCAAAACATTTATTATGTGGTTTGGTGCCAAGACAATAAACATTACAATTCTTTGAATATTGGTAATCCTTTTTGGGTGTTTGGAATTTAGCAGCATAAGTGTACAAAGATGGTATTTGAGCTTATAAAATCCTATTTCCCTTGTCAGCACTTATTCATCAACCACAGAAATCTTTAGTTTCTGTACTACTTATCACACTCATTTAGTTTCACAAGGTGTGGGGGGGGGGGGCTTGTGGATTTACCAAATTTATTGCTTTTTGTGCAGGTTAGAATTTTTATTCTTGCTTGTATATATCTACAGTTTGTTTCTAAATGGCTAGAACTGTATAAAGTTCTACATTAAAGGTATAAAGAATGGAAGTTTCAGAATACAGATTCATCAAGTGGCACTAAGAAACGAAGATTGAGAGTTTTTTAAGTTAAGACTCGGGTAGTTTAAAGACTTGAATTATAAATTATGTTTTGATATAAAGTTTATTTACATACCTTGATAATAAAGTTGTTTATTCATACTTTGAACTTAACAGTGTAAAGTTTGTGACATGCCTGAATGGACTATTCCCATACTTCAAGGTTTAAAAGAAGAGAAGCTACACTAGAAAGTCAAAGTGTAAATGGCTAATTTAAATGTATAATTTTTGAAAGCTTGGAAATAGGTCAGCAGTATGAAGTTGTCCGAATTTATGGAAATAAAAATGAAAAATATTATATAAAAGTAACATTTTTGAAATAAACACGCAGTGAATTAAGTAAAACAAATAAAATGAAAGAGGAAACAAAAAACCTGGTTTACGAACCTTTCTCAGCTTTAAATTTTATGGAAAAAAGATCCTGTTTTTTTTATTTTATTCATAACATATATATGATTATTGTGAGTATAAAAGAATTCATAAATCAAGTGCTTAAGCTAGAAGTTATTGAACATTTTATTCCAGAATGAGACTTGTGACTCTAGATCGGGATCAAGTCTGTCACTTCAAGTTTTGCGTCGTCCGGGAGACAGTTCCACTAGTGATTCACCTTCACATGGAAGAGTTCAGCGAAGTGTGTCTGCCACAACAAAACCTCGTCGAAGTAGTCATACAGAAACTGGAGGTAAAACAGCATACAAAGTGTATATTTAATGATAATTCATGTGACATATTGTAAGGAAGTAAAACAGTAAACTTAATGTACATTTAATGGAAGTTTCTGTAACATTACATCACAAGGAGTTAAAACTGTAAAGATAATGTATATTAATGGTAGAATCTCAACTGCCTTCTTCTTGCACTGTTTGCCACTGCCGACAAGGCCTTGTACTCAATACCAGAGCATATCAGGTTGGCTGGACATGCAATGCATTGGTAATATTACCTTGACATCAATAGGGTGCAGCATGCAAGGTGGGAATTTAAGATACTATTATGTTCCTCCTACTAAAAACTCACCTATGAACAATAAGGAAAGATTCATTACAAAATTATTATCAGCCTTATTGTAATGTAGTCTCACAAACACTACAAGTAAATAAATCACACTTTACAGGCACATTTTACCTTCCACAAGCTCACTATATTAAATTCAAGCTTTTCTTGAAGCTTCTGGATGAAAAACGTTTCTCATATACTTAAAATTAGTGTATATGTTTAAATATGAAAACAATGAAATTGAGTTAGTGGTCTTCAGTATTTACATTTAATAGTAAATTATGTAATGTAGCAACAGAAACTAAACTTATAAAGAAAACATTTTCTGGTTAAAAAAATTCCTAGCAAAAACATTAGAAAGGGGAAACACAAATGTTTCTGTTTAGTTTCAGACAGAGATCTTTCACTTAACTGTTCCTTAGTTACATATAGCAACTATTTTAACATGGCTTGTGTCATAACTTGTGCAACTGTGAAATATCTTGCAAGTTAACTAAAATTGCTGAAGTAAAATGAGAAAATTAGTATTTAAATTTGTGGTAAGTGTATTTATGAAATACTAGTTTTTCCAGAACTGTGAAGAAAGTGAAACTTAACGATCATTACGGAAAAGTTGGTTTATTAATCAGAAATCTATCTAAAATTATTAAAATGTATTAATGTGTTGAAAACTATTCAAGTCATTTAAAAGTAAGCAAGCATTATGAATCAGTTAAAGTTGTGTCCCAAGAAGACACAGCAGCCTGATCATATTCTAATGGCAGTTTCTTCTTTGGGAACATTTTGTGAAGAAAAGACCTATTTTTGACAATGATTTTTAGGTCATATTATGACATCCTTTTTGTTTTTATATACTGCTGTAGATTACTGTTACTGGATTTTCTTTAGTAGCACTGAGTTTAAGTTTTTGCATTTTTTTTTCTTTTATGGGATTTCTGTTTTAGAGCTTTTATTCACAAGCTCATGTCTCCACCTTTCCAAACTTTTCTTGTGCTCACATTCACTTTTAACATTTCAAAGAAGGATAATAGGTTGCAAGATAGGACCACTGTTAGTCATCTTTCAAACTCCTTACAATACACTTAGAGAATCTTAGTTTTTTGTTCACTGTTTATTTGTATGTATTCTTCTGCTTTCTTATGTTTTCCTTTTTTATTCTACTGATTTGGAATTGTTATGGAAATTTAGATGTTGATTTCTTTTGTATCATGATTTTTCTAAAAATGGTGTGATATTTCTCTCTGGTGTACACTGGAGGGACAGTGGTAAGTTTATGGACTTACAATTTTAAAATCTGGGGTCTGATTCCTTGTGGTGGAAACAACAGGTAGCCCAGTGTGGATTTGGTTACATCTTTAGTGTATGATGACCACCAATCTATTTTAACCAGATATAAACTGTGCTTGTTTTTCAAAAGATGACTTTAAAATGTTTATGTTTCATATCTTATCTGTTATTGTACATGGCTTTCTTTTGTTTATACATTTTCTTTTTTCCCTTTCTAATGTTTGGTAAGTTGAAATATTTTATAGCAGCATGTGCTAGTCTTTTACTTTAATACTTGTATTTAGATATGAGGACATAGTGGTCTTTTCTCTCTGTTTTCTACACGTAGATATTTCAGTGTGACTGTTTGAGATGCTGGTACTGCATATTGCTTACTCAAGTTGTCATAGAAACCACTGATCAGATTCTCATCTCGCTGGGTAAACTGCTTGATGTAAAACTATCTATTTATGCTCTTATAATATTCTTGAGGCCAGTTCTTTGATACTGTTTATTATTTCTTTACAGTTGTTGTGTCAAATTCACCGTTTATTATCTCAAGTTAGCCTCATTTGCTGTATTTATCAAATCTTTCTTGTATTTCTTTCAGTATAAGAAACAGTCTGTATGTGCAGTCTTTAACTTTATAGCTCTTGTTCTTTAACTTTTTACAGTTTCTTGTATATTAAAAGTGTTTTCTCTGTATAGCTAGATCCTCCTCTGTATTACTGTAACTTTCAAAAAAATTTCTTTCTGAATTTTAATAAATACCTTAGTAAACCAAGGGGGAGGTGCTCCTACTGATATGTTATAGGAGGGTAGGTGCTCTAATTATGCTCTCATAGGAGGGAAGGTGCTCTAATTATGCTCTCATAGGAGGGAAGGTGCTCTAATCTTAAATTGTGCTGTCATAGGAGGTGAAGGGTGAAGTGCTCTCTAATTGTACTATGGCTGGGGTGTACTGTGAGGGGGGGGGAAGAGATGCTCTAATTGCTCCACCCTAGGGGGGAGGGGCTTTCTAAGTGTATCATCATGGGGGGGGGTGTTATCTAAGTGTACTGCCATGATATTTGAAATGATGTGGGGTGCTGTCTGGTCTGGTCTGATATATGGACCTAAATGAGAATATTGATGATTCTGTAAGTTACAAAAGTTTCATAAGCAGCTGAAGGTATGTGAAAGTCAGGTACAATCAGATTGGTTCTCTGTTGTTTTTTTTGCTTTTGTAACCAGAGATTTTAGATGTGAAATTCAGTGCCTTGTGTGTGTATATTTCAGTAGAAAGTCAGAACACTAGAACAGCAAGTGTTGGGCCTCCTTCCTACAAAAGACAGAATGCTATCGAAGCCACAGCGACGAGGACAGTGAACAATACCGTCACAACACAAGTGAACTCATCTGGCCCACACACTGTCAAAACAAACTCTACTGTTCTGGAAAATTCTGGAATAGGAAAATTTGGTATTTTGTTATTGTTTTGTTGTTCTTTTATTAGATTGCTTGTTGTATTATTGTAATTTTTTTAAATTTGTGTTGATAAGCTATAAAATATCTTTATTGTAGTTTGTATCATCCAGGTTTGTTTTTTGAGGCATGTAAGTTAACTTTAATGCACTCATTTTAGTGTAGGTTTTATCTTAAATTCAAGATCTCAATTAATGTTGATTTCTGGACCTCAGTTGTTGTTTTCTTACTTCTTTCCATATGGACATCCTTTTCTGTGCATGTCACGAGGTTTTGCTGAGTTACATTAAAAATTTAATTAAGCTGCTTTATTATCACTGTATAAGAATAAACTTGCCATCAAAATATAGCTAATAATTCAACTTTTAATATTATGTAAGTTTTACATTCTTAAATTTATAAGGAAATATAAAAAATAAAATCCTCAATTTCCCCTGGTACGGGAATTGTGACATTTGCTCTCTGAGTATCCCCTCTTCTCTAATTTATTTACCACCCCACCAAAAAGTATGAAATGTTATTACTCAGGCAAAGCATAATTTTTATAATCAATCTTATTTGGATACAGAGCCATAAGCTAGAAAATCAGATCCCTCTTGCCATGCCCACCTGCCACATTTTCGCTTTCAGAAATTGCCAATAGTTCTCTCTGACATTTAATAATATATTATTTACAACCAATAGAAAACCAAAGTTTTCATCTATAACATGAAATATTATATTACTTTGTTTTCTATACAGAGATATATTTTGCTTCCAGTTCAAACTTTATTCCCATGGGAAAGACATCAAATTTTTAATTGTTAGCGGCTGTTGTTGTATAGTTAGAAAGCGAGAAAAAACTGTGATAATTATAGGACATTGTCTGCTTTTTATGTGTTATTATTCTGTGTTCTTTGGTGTGTTATTTAATTAAATAAAAAAATTAGTACAGTAGTACCATTATTATTAAAATGTAGGGTTAATTGTTATTGATAGTCAACAGCAAAAAAGGAAGACCCAGGTAAATACTGTATTTCTTGTTTTTCATGTTTATTCTTTGTTCATTATTATAAAAGTAACAAAAATATAAAAATCAGAAACTTTTTATGTTAGATAACATAAAGTTAGGTAAAATAAAGAAGAATTAAACAAATTTTTACAAGGTATGTTTGCAAACAACTCGCAAGTAGTCCTTGCATTATCTACTTCAGTAGGGTAATGTGAGATACATGTCCACCAAATGATTTACAACTTGTGTGATGGGATTATTAGTTAGACACAGTTCAGAGGACAATAAAATTTGAGTATAAATAGATGTATATTGTTATGAGTGTAAAGCTATATAAGATAAACAAATGTAGTTTCATGTTACAATTTGAAGTCATTCTAGAAAGAAAAAAGTGTAATTTAGATTTATTTAATTTTTTTTTATGGTGGGTACGAGGTCTGTCAAACTGGCCAACCTTGTATAGTGTTAGGGTAGAGAAAATAACAGATAAAGTATAAAGTTTTACTGCATGAAAAACGTTTGAAATTTTACTTATGAGGTTTTTAGAGATTATGCAAAGGAAAGTTGACAATTTTAAGATAAAGACAAGTATTTTTAATCTTAACAGGAAAATCAGTTTGTACTCAGAGCAGTCAAAACTTTGACTCCATATTATCACGAAAAAATTTTGAGTGAAAATACTTCCTTAAAAATTCTGATATTTTGGCTACAAAACACTTAATACTTACTGGAAGTTTGCAAAATTTTTGTGAAGATACAAAAAAACATAATAGAAGTTATAGTATGGAAACTGTGAAGGTCAATTTGGGTTTACGAACTAGGCCGAATCGACATAACCCATAGCGAGAGTGTTAAGTAATAGTGAGAGTTATAGCACTGCAACAGCTCACTAAAGGATCAGGGTTTGATTTGGTTAATATCCACCAGATCTAACATGAAACATTTTGTAAAAAACTTTGCACCAAATCCAACACTTCATATATATATTACCCATATGGAATGAAAGAAGTTCTCTTTATACCTACTTTTAAAGTATGACTAGGATTCTGATTTTTTTTTCTTAAATTATATCAGTGTTATCAACTTTGAAATGTCAGTTAGTGGAGAACAGGACTCGAACTTAAGGTTCAGCAATCTGAAGCTATAAGTAGTGTCGGAGTGCTCTGTTTAGTCATGGTATTCCAAAGATATTTGTAATTGGTTTGAAGTGATCGTCAAGTAGGGCCCTTTGATTTAAGATTTGATTCGATTATTTCAGGATGATTCTATTTTTAAAATATTTTGATTTGCATCAATTGTACATACATAGATTATAGGGTGTATAAGCTGAATTAAATTTTAAATCAAATAGAAAATGGTTTCTTTATTTATGTAGAGTGCCTCTACACACAGTTATTAATGAGAATAAAAATAAATCTTTCTAAAAACAAAAGATATAATGTACTTAAACATCGGGAAGAATAATGGTTGAAAAGTGTTCTTGCAAGGAAATAGGTTCCAGTATATAGACTGAATTAAAAGCTAGATTTTAAAGTTTACCAGAAGTGATGTAGATTAAAAAATATTGAATCTGAGCTGTAGCTAACGAATTGAACCCCACTCTTGATTTACAATCTATTTGAATTTTGAAGCTTTGCAGGGCTATATTGTCAAGGGACTAAAACGTGAAGTCTCAATTAGATGAATACATTTATAATCTGTTATGGGTATAACTGTCTTGTACCACTCTGTCAGTTCCTCAGTTACAGATATAACTGTGCTTGTACCACTCTGTCAGTTCCTCAGTTACAGATATAACTGTGCTTGTACCACTCTGTCAGTTCCTCAGTTACAGATATAACTGTGCTTGTATCACACTGTCAG